TAAATAAATACTCTATATATATTTTATATGTACCTTTTATCCATATCCAAAACTATAATCACCTAAACCTTTTGGTCATAGATTTTTACCAATTCATTAGTAAAATTTCGATTGTGACGTCAGTTTAAATGCTTTCAATAGCTATATACTTTTATATTTACCGTTAAAAATATCAGCAACCGCTCCAATCTCAGACAATAGTTGTCTCAGGTTTAACAGTCAGTATTTTCAATAATGGGCTTCATTTCGAGATGGGCTGCTTCTTTTCAAAATGAATGTTGTAAGTATTTGATATTGCTACTATAAATACATTTAGGATTAATGAATTCAATTGAAAATTCTGTTCAATATTTTAAAAACATTTTTTTTTTCAATTATGATGATCAAAACATGCTGAAGACAATTGGACAATTATTGAATATATAAGTATAATAAAATCTATTGCTTTTTATATAATATTACCTTATTTACAAGGTATTATTATAATTACAAATGATAGACTTAGTATTTTTGAAATTGTTTATTTCTGTTGATTTATTTACAATGTATGTTCTCTTGAAACAATCCCATACTATCTTGATTAGAAGCCCATGGGCTTCTTTTTGAGATTGTCCTTTTTCAAGATTACTTTTTCAAAATAAAAAGGGGCTTCTTTTGGAGATAGGCTTCTTCTCGAGAAGAGGCCTATTCTGAATACGCCTATATTCCCACTGAAAGAAGTGTTAATTTAACAAACGGATGCACTTATGATATGAATTCGAAACAACCACATATTTATGTTCGTAGCCCCTGAATCAAAACTCACTAACGGTTAACTAACGGCTAATAATAAGAATAATAATGAATCGAATGTGATTTTCTTTTTGAAGTGATGGATGTTCAATGGGTAATGCGCAACCACAAGTATTGTACAGTATGGCGGATTTTCACGTACGGCCAAAAGAAAAAAAAACTTAGCCAATGTTAACCCAGAGGTCAATAGGTCAGCTGATAATATTCAGAACAAAATGATATCATTAGTAAACTATAAGCGAACCAGTCCTTGATATCTAATGGTGGACCTTATTGGTGTATTTCCCTCAGTTTGATTGATTGATTGATCGAATTATTGATTAGCTGACTGAAAGACTCACTGATTGATTTAATTATTATTGATTGATTGATTAATTGGATGGTAGATAAAGTGATTGATTTACTGATTGATTGATTAATTGAAATATCAATTGATATAATACTTTATTTGTAAATAGATACGATTAATCGATTAAGTTTTTGAGATCGACTGTTTGATTATTTAATTAATTTGAATATTAATTGATATATAATAATTCGGTGGTTAATATATAGATAGATTGATTTATTGATGTAAGTGAGTGATTGTTTGATTAATTAATTAGAATATTAATTGATTATATTAATAATTATTTCTATACACATTATTGACCTTTTAGAGAACACTGCATACCACAATTTAGATTTAGTCTAATATCTACTTCCCATCTTAATTATTATAGGACATTAGTACTATATCAAAACAGATTACAATCGTGTTTACTGGCTTAGGACTAAATTTGCAGGAATTGATGTTGGGTGATACCAATTTAAATCGTATTAACTGATTTCGAATGCTTACACGTAATTGCAAATCGTTCTCATTGTGTTACACGAGAATGGTAAAATATTTTATAGCTATCGCCTTTTTGTCACATGTTAAGCTCTGTTCACAATATCAAATTTTATGTGACAAATAAATGTGACATGTCCATATTAGGATGTAATATGAAACCATCATGCCCATATACGGGCACATTCACAAATTTCAGAAATAAAATTTAATGGCTTGCTTTAGATTATGTACAATATCAGATATTTCACTAGGCCTTGTACGGTACTTTCCATCTTGAATATGTTCTTATCAAGAATATTATAACGAGAGGTCAATGCGTTCATCTGTTGTCTGTAGTGCTACAGGTTTAAATTATATCAGATATGTTCTTCTATAATTTTTATTATATCCCTTCTCTTGACATCATGATTAATATACATGCATCTAATTGAATCGTGATACGTAATTATACAATGTATAATATCGAAATCAAATACGTATACATATATAATATTATACATCCATCCATAAATAAATATAAACTTGCAGATTCCTATTCCTTAAACGTGTTACGTCAGACTCGTTAAAAAATAATGAAAATCATTCACAATTTCTACTGGCGTTTAGATTAACCACATCGCCTTTGTGGTCAATTGATGTTGATGTTAGGCATGTATGCGAATGGGCCCGGTTCGAGTCCCGATACGGTTATTTTCATTCTGTCATTTCACTTATTATATATATTATATAAGGGCATGTACAAACAAACTTGGTAATGTAATCAGACTGAATGTATAATATAGAAAAAAATTAATATGTTATAAATAATTATATATCAATAATAATGAAACAGAAAAGAGGAAAGAAATCTGAATGAAAATAAGAAAAATAAAATCTTGCTGACATTCCATCCCCACACCTTTTACATCCACGAAGATCATACAAGTATCTATTTCGACATCCAATTTGAAGTTATTGTTGGATTTATAGACTACGGCCATCTTGACATCTAAAATAACTCGTGTCCATTACGTTCATTACTTGTATTGGAAATTAACTATTCAACCTTTTCTTAATTAACTATTGGTTTAACGACTTTTGCTATTTGGTGTCAAAACAAAGGGGCTTGATTATAATATAATTTCCTCGATGTATACTCTAGCGTATAACTGAATTATTGTGTTTAAGTTGCGAAGGCTCATTATAGATAATTGATTTTAAGATTTTTTTTTTGTATTCTTTCAGAGTTTGAGGAATAATCTGCATAATTCACAATCACTCATGTTTTCTTGTTCGATCGACTACATTTGCCGCAATGTTAAGTTATTTTTCTTTTCAAATTAGACTGGAAAAAAGAGAAATAGATTACAACAACTTGAAATAGCACGCTTAATGATGACGTCACCATTTGGAGAATATATTTATTATCGCTTGTTCGATCTATCTTAATTCCCAAGAAAGGTTCAGAAGTAGAAATCACAAACGAGAAATGACGTTCCATTGTGCTTCCCGATTAACGGAATAACAAATTCTTCAGAGCAGAGTTGGTGAAGTGTAAGTCTATATTCGTGAATTGTATACTAGCTGTTGCTTATCACTGCGCATAATTATGCAAATTTGACTCTTATTTTATAGCTCATATTCTCAGATCCAACATACATTAGATTTTTTCCGTCTACATATCTAAGAGAGGCAAGCTTATTCGAATATTCCCGGGAGAGAACAGTTCAAGTTAACGATTTATCTCATATATATTCAACGTCGTATATCAAGTGCGGTGGAAAATTATTGTATCTTGGATTTCGAATAAAATTTTAGAATGGCGACCGAGAAACAAGGTTCGCTACAGACGATCTTTAGTAGAATTCCTTCAATGAGGGAAAGGAACCGCCGTAGCAGTATGGGACAACATTCGGGAGCAAGTGCCCTGCATGAAGCTATAGCTAAAGGTAAGCTTCATCTAAGCCGGTTTATTATCGAAGCAACAGAGGAACGCACACTTGTAAATGTCAAAGACAGCTACGGCAAAACGCCTTTAATACGTGCGTGCAAGCACGTTGATCGTAACACGCGAATACGTGCCATGGAGTTGCTCATAAAACACGGTGCTGATGTTAATTTAAAGGACAATGTCGGACGCACGGCGTTGAGTTATGCTTGTCACCTGAAATATAACGATGCAGTTGCATTACTGGTGAAAAACAACGTCGACCCGAATATCGAGGATAATAGCAGTAACACTCCGCTTATGTATTGCGCCAAGTGTGGCAACGTTGGGGCCATAGAAACTATCATACGGTCTTTCAAACGATTAGGTCTTGACGTTGATCACATTAACGAAGAGGGGTTAACACCTTTAATGGAAGCTGCGAGAAATGGATACACCGAATGTATAAAAATTCTTATTCAAAATGGAAAGGCTTCGCTAGTCTTGCGTGACTCATTTCGGAATCTGAACGCAGAGGAGTGGGCGCAGGAAAATGGATGCAATCCAGAAACAATGGCGATTTTTCAAAAAAAGAAAAGTTCACCTTTAGGAAGACGTCATTTAGAGTCAGGTCAGACAGAAAAAGACCGGCACAGTATCAATAGTTCGTTTGACCATGGTGGCAGCTCTGATAACACTCTTCCACCAGAAACGCCAACTTCAAATCCGGTAGTGTGGGAGTCGATGTCAGAACTACATTATAAACAGACTAGCAGTAAAGATGATAACGGGGCTGGATGTTCCCATCCTTCCCCCAACTTTGACTGCTCAATCAAAATTACCCGAGAGAGAAATTCGAATGTGCCGGTATTGGTTAGGCGTGATAAAATAATGAATACAATTGAGCCTAAAAGAAGACACGGTCGTCCACGATCTTCAAACTATATGGAATATATGTCAAGGAGTTTTGATGGGGTGGAACGTGTGAAGAAAGATCAGGTCTATCGCCTCAGCGCTAGCCATGAATCCCTACTAGACCTAACTCTGCCCTGTCCCAGTTTTTCTGTAGGTTTAAGTGCCAGTGTTGAAAATATTCGGAGCAAAGTGGTCGAAGATAAGGACTTGCATCTTGACTCAAATTGTGATTTAGTAGGAAACCTAAGCTTCAGTAAATGTGCCAGCCCCCTCCTGAAACAGAAAAGGATGGAACGATCAACATCACCGGAAACGACATGTCTCCCTCCAATCTAAACTGGACTTGTGCGTTAGTAGCGCACATACCTACTCGAGATTACGCATATCCCGTGCGGCCTTTTTTAGAATCGTCCGTGTGTTTGCGGATTTACCTGTCATCATGTTTTCAGCTTGTGCGTTGGTTAATCACACTCCTGCTCCAGTTTGAATATTTATATTTTCTGAACAAGATCAGCCAGTCATGTTATTAGAATTATGATATTGAAAATGTGCACAGACGTGGTTCTGGTGGACCAAAATTGTGGTTGAAAATATTCAGATATGTCTTAACTGCCATTTGTTGACTCTGAATCTAATGTAGAGTAAGTGTAAGAGCTGTCTCTTATACACATCTAGATGTGTATAAGAGACAGGGTCACATACAACATTAGCGTTATGTATATATACATATATATATGTATATACAAATATGTATATATGTATAAATATGACTAACGAATTAAAAATAGTAGATCTGTGAAAAAATGCTTTGTTTTTGGTAACCGCAATATGAAAATGGCAGCAACAGGCTGTGTAGGTCTAATAGAGGCAATTTTAATAAGCGGCACAGTATAATGTACTTAGGAGAAAGTGAAACTGTCATACAGATATGCGGTCATTTTACAGAATTGTAATAGTTAACAAAATTATCTTGAAGAAAATGAGACTCATTTTCATAAATTTTAATGACTGTTAACTGCTCAGAGAATTGAGTTTTTGCATGAACTGTAATTTATATCGAATTATTATGGAGTTTGTGTTCGTTGCGAATCATTAATGGTATGCCAAGTGCAATTATGTGGTGTATTGTCGACTCGTTAGGATAAGCCTACTTTACGGTAATGTGGCTCTTTTAGTAATGCTTGTTAAAATAAAATATCCGGTCATTAATACTGTGATTGGTGTGATGCAGCGCGTAGGCCTACTCATTTTATTACCAAGCACGGTACGAGCATGACGAAAGGCTTTCGTACATGACGACATACCGCTTGTATTTGCTTAAATGGACCTTATAAGCATGTCAATAAAATCACAGACCTCTTAAACAGCTGACATACGCGCTTGTTCAACTAACGCACGTGTTTGCTTAACGCACCTGTTCTCCACTAGGCGAATTTATTCGCGCGAATCGAAAGCGTCGGTTAGCTTCCAGACTTGAGTGCTCTGATTGGTTGCGTATTTTTTCGCTTCTCAAAAAAAACAAACTAAAAACTAAAAAAAAACTAAAAAAACCCAAAAAAGCACTATGATAGAAATGTGAATGCGCATGTGCAACCGACGCTTTCGATTCGCACGAATGTTATTCGCTAGTGAAAAACAGGCTTTACGACGACGCTGAGTGTCATTTTTGTGGGAACTTGCTGCAAAAATACTAGGCCGGAGCAGGACTTACCGACAGTTCATTCTCATCAAATAATGTTATACCGAGCATCTCAGCTAGTAAGCTAATTACTTGATGTTTTGGTTCAGGTTCTGGTGGGTAAAGCCGACCTCCTAAGTGACTCCAAAAGTAGGGGTATAACAGGAGAGGTAAAAATGTTCCGATGATTAATTTCGTAATTGAGGTAATTTATACGGTATTTTGGGGCTGATGCAGGGTTTGGCGGTAGGGGTGCGTGAAAGTTCACAACACCTCAGCCCCAGCATAGTTGGGTCTGAGATAGGAATTTTTTTAGCATATGGACCTCTAGATGCCCCGAAACTGCACTCTCATACCTTAGAAATCTTACCGGTAATTCATATCAACAATATAATACAACATTATTTTTCTTAATACAAGTTAATGGGATGCGATCGCACCGTCTGTACTTCTCCCCCGCATCCGCCCCAGGTACTGACGTTATCAGAATCATTATTATTAATGGCATCTACCATGTGCAATTATAATATAATAATAATAATAATAATAATAATAATAATAATAATAATAATAATAATAATAATATTAATAATAATAATAATTATTGTTATTGTTATTATTATTATTATTATTATTAATGGCATCTACCATGTGCAATTATAATATAATTATTATAATATAATAATAATATTAATAATAATAATAATTGTTATTGTTATTGTTGTTATTATTATTATTATTATTATTATTAATGGCATCTACCATGTGCAATTATAATATAATTATTATAATATAATACTAATAATATTAATAATAATAATTATTGTTATTGTTGCTATTATTATTATTATTATTATTTATTTTTTTATTTATTTTTTTATTTTTTTATTTTTTTATTCAATTCCAACAGCGAGGAGCCAGCCATTTGCAGAATGGAATAAAATAAAACATAGTAAACAAAAAAGACCAATTAATTACAGTACACACAATAAACAGTCAAATACTAAGTAGCATTAAATATATATTATTAATTCGCCATGCAAATATTATTATTATTATTATTATTATTATTATTAATGTTATTATTATTATTATTACTATTATTATCATATCATCATTATTATATATTATTATTACTGTACTATATTATTATTATTATTATTATTATTATTATTATTATTAATTAGTACGGTACTGTATAATAATAATAATGATGATGATGATGATAATAATAATAATAATAATAATAATAATAATAATAATAATAATAATAATAATAATAATTATTATTATTATTATTATTATTATTATTTAGTGCTGTACTATTATAATTATTATGTATGATAATGACATAGATCTGGTCAGCCTGTTACTCTCTGAGGCTGTTGCACATCCGATACGTTCGATATGTGTGTGAATATAATCACTTAAAGTGTGTGCTCTCGCGTCAAATATAACAGATCATATTGGTGCCCATCCAAACGCCTTCATTTCGTATACATATCCAGGGGGTAAATAACTATAAAACCGCCTCCACAAACAAACAGGGAAAGAGCACTTGCCGAATAATGAAATTTGACTTACCAGAGGTAGATGATTCAATGATGGAACATATGATGAGGAATATTTGTTTTGACATGTAACGTTATTGGAAACGTTAATCAAAGTGATACCGGTTATAGTTATATGATATGTTACGGAATAATAAATTTATTACTGGAGACGTAATTTAAATGGTGTTTGTGATGATGATGATGATTAGAATGATGACGACAATGATGATGATTATACAGTAATGATGTTCTAATTATTATGATAATGATAATATTGCTATGACGGTGGTGATGCTGAAGAAATTATTTAGATGATTATGACAACAAATATGATTGTGATGATAGTAATAATTTATATATATATATATTTATTTATTTAACTTTATTGCGAAAATTACTTTAGTGTTATTTTACAAAAATGATATGTAATAAACATAAAACAAAAATAACGAACGTGTAATTATGGAACAGGAGAGGGGATAAGAATAACACATTTGAGAATGTGATTTCGACTAATAATGAATGTAAAGATTATAATAATTAATTAAGACGTGTTGATAATAATGACATATGCTCATTAACAAAATATTTTAAAAAATGTTAAAAAATGTTGGAATGGCGCCATAAAAATTGAACGATCGATTGATTGATTGATTGATAGGCCTAACAGTATGACAATATGAAGACAATGATAATAAAGTGATGATGATGGTGATAACGAAATGATGATAGTGTTTGAAATAAATTTCTGTTTTCAGTGAAGTGATTATAATATTGATGAAGTGAATGATGATGAAGTTGTGATAATGGTATTAAGAGATAATAATGGTGATGAGGTGTTGGTAGGGAAGATGAAATGATTAAAATTAATATAAAGTCATGAGAATGGTGATGTATAAGATAATGATGGTGAAGATGGTTATGAAGTGATGATAATGGAGATAATGTTTTGTAGTTAAGATGATTTGATAAAAATGATAATAAAGAGATGAGAATGATGGCATGATAAAGCTTATGAAAGTAAAATTTAATTTAATTTCATTTATTTCGTCTTTGGAAAACAAAGAAAGATAGGCCTACATAAAAACTATTAAGGGGCAGACGGGACGATCAAAAATCCGAATTAAATCAACTACCTAGTAAGTCTCTAAAGCCCCCTAAAAGCCAACATTTAAAAGTAGATAAAAATATAAAAATGAATCAAAAGTACAGAAAAAACATATACATGAGCTAAAAAATCACATTCCATCGAGAGAATTACAAATTTCATGTGTCAGCATTCAGCAAGTATGTTTAAGTGCAAAATGAAATATGACAGGGAAAGAACAAGCGAATCTCTAATATTATTAGGTAGCACTTTGCACATCCGTGAGAAATCATTAAATGATAATGGGTAGCGTCAGTTCTTGAAGTAGTATAGATATAAAGTTGTATTGTCCTGTCTTTTGGTTTTATACGTCATTCTGTAGCTTTCTTTAGTTTCGAGCCGCCCTTAACAAGCGTTACTCTTTGAGATTTGCTCCTCATTGAACATATATTAATATTCTTTCTTTTTAAATCATTATTTGTTTGTCAACGAAGGGAGAGAATTAAATTATTAATATATTGATTGATAAATTAATTGAATAATGGTAATGAAATGATAAAAAAAATCGCTGTCTAGCCGCATGCGCCCCGCGGGCCTATCCTATCCTTAGCGATAGTGAAGAGGATAAAGTGATGGTAATATCGCTGACAGGATGACAATGATGGTAAAGTAAGGGTGAATGACAATGGACCTTTCCGTATTCACGAAATGTCAATCAAGCTCAACAACTGACCAATCAAGACACGGCCAGGAATAAGCGCGTGTCTCACAAACGCACGTTTAGTCCCACTAACTCGCGTGTGTGCGTATGCTTAACTTTTACTCTGTCCTTTTGTGGGGCCTTATCAACAATATCCAAGGGGCGAGGCTCAGCGGATTAGTCCCTGAAGTGATAACATTTAGCTGGAGCTAGTTCCATATGTAGGCCTATTAGGCGTATACCTAAATCTTGCATGGTGCCGCCTATCTTCTTATTGCATGCCTGGGGACCCTGTGAGTCTTTACATTGGTTTTTAATTTTTGGTTATATTTATAAATAACAATTTTAACAGAGGTTTTTTGCACAAGGAAAAACAAGATTTTGTATTTTATTTAATGTTTTCAATTTGCACACAAAAAGATATTATAGGCCTATACCTAATTGTTAGGAGGTGGCTTTCATGCTTGCGACCTCTAGTCTTAATGAGAGTTTCGAGGTTTCTAAAATAATTATTTCTATTTATGTGTAATATTTTATTGTAGTGATGATTTACGAGATTGAATAAATTGTATTTTAACTTGTGTGACCTGTGACTTTTATCTCTGTTTCTTCAGACCTAATTAAAGACAA